GGTCCAGGATCCATGAGATTCCCATCCTACAAGTGAATTTTGTGCTTCTTTGGACAGCATCATAGCAACCCCCTGAGTGTGTGGGTCGTTTTTTTCTTCGTGAGCAGAGTGCGGTAGCGTCTCTCTCGAATCTATTCCCTTCTGTCTAGATTGAGTGTAACTGATTTCACTGATCTTGAGCACCAACAAGTTATATTTCCTTATTTCCGTTGGTATTTAGTTGGTCCTTCCGGTCTTCTACATTGTCCGGACGTTCCATATGCTTATAAAAATTATTGCTCTCGTTGTTGGGTTGGTCAACCTAGTGACTTCCGAATAATATCGTGTTACATCATGTGGTGTCATAATTCTTCATCCAACTCCAAGGGCAAAGTTTAAATGGTTTATACTGTTTATTCTGGTTAGTGTTTTTTTAGCAAGGTTGTTTTCTAAAGAATGTAGTTGGCGAACCCACATCTAACCTTCCTCCTTTGTATGGGCTTGGGATCCGTAGTAGCCCTATGAAGGCTACAGGCAGAGAAAAAATATCTATCTATCTTTAAACGTTACACTACATACATACATAATTTTGTTATCACGTGAACAAACAACACGTGTGCCAATTTTTCAATATTTTTTTGTTTAAACTTATCTCTAAATATTTTGATGTAACGTTCGGCACTACAAAAAAACAACAACACATATTTGCACTTAAACACGGATAAATGAACGAGTCTCCCTTCAGGTTTTACAGTTATCTATCCAAATTAATAATTCAAAAGGAAAACCACTGGCCAGATTTAACGCAAAGTACAACATTTAAAATTAAGGATTATTTGTAATATAAAATGAAATAAAATCGTAAATGTTGGAATGAAGTGTGGACTTGAATAATGTTACACACGAAGTGAAATCGTAAGATTAATGATTAGAATAAATATGGTTATTATAAATTAGGAATTACGTAATAAGTAGAATAATATGAATTGGATACGAATTAGTAAATTAGGTGTGGTTGCTGAATAAGTTTCTTGAATATAAGAGATGTAAAATGTTCTTTTGGGATTTATCAAAGTATCAAACTATAAGTATATATTTATAGCAGAGTTGACATTTAAGGAAGTTTTGGTCATCAGTTATGTTAAATTCTAGGATATGAATAGTAGAGAAGGGTGAATATTCATAAAATGTAAGCATTATCCTATCAATTTTATGTAAAACCTGAATTCTGATGAGCAATAAGAATTGTTAGTTTAGATGTATATACACTATATGTTTGGCAATACGAGTTGTGTAGGACTGGACACTTAAAGGAAATCTTTCCAGTTTTTCTAATATCTGTCTGATAGTAGTGACGAAGTGGATGAAGGAGTTACTCTTCTATCCCATTCAATAAGAAACCCTATATACCACAAATCAATCGAACAGGTGGATGATCGATCTACAAGTTATGTCGGTTATGAGACCTCAAAGTTTTAATATGACCAAGAAATATTGTTGTGAATCTGTAGATTAAAATGGAATACATATAACTCTTTGTCCCATATTCTAAATGGTGTTTTAGATAGTGTTAATCTTTGAGAATTAGGTTAAACTGCAAATAATATTTAATTCATATAAGATAAAATAGAAATATCGATCCCATTAGTGTTTACAAAATGCAATATCAGGGATAATTATAATAACCGGCAGCAAACATCAATATATCTCAATCCAAGTAGGAATATACTAGGTATTCGTTGATTTGTATGCATAAAATTATATGTATGATCTTCTAAATAAAAGCCCTCCAATGACCCGGTACGGCCAAGAGTGGGGAGAGTCAGCTCTTCCTTGCGAAATGCTCTCACATGGCCACGCGTCTATAACCTCTGCAAGGGAAGTCCTACTCACTGCCTTCTCGTGGCGGTGCATCCACCTAGGGAAGTTGGAAAACCCCGATTCCAAACCAACGGTGCACGTGGGCTCCAGTATTTTGAGGGAACAAATGGCGTATGAGCCAATCGTTGGTCACAGGCTACCATGAAACTGTATCTTCTTACGATGATCCACTGTCTGGTGGATCAGATCTTTAGGTCAAAGGCTAAGGGTGTGGCCCCCTAAGAAAACCACCCGCTTAGGTTTGGGCACCCGGGTAGTATTACAGCCCTCATACAAATCAAATGAGATTTGTGTGGCGGATATATATCTGGTGCCCCTTTGTACCAAATGTTTATGTGTTTAAATAAATATATCTAAATAAAAGATAACTAAACCGTATTATCAAGATATATTGTTACCGACTTAAACAATAACTAGTTATTTCTTAACTTAATAAATCTGAGTGAATAACTTTTATCAAATTATTTTGATGAACCAATTGGATTATCGTTTGTATAAGTTAATTCAGTATAGATTTAGGACATTAATTATAATCCAATCTAAAAATAGGAAGTTATGATTATTATCTTTATTTTGAAGATTGAATAATAAAAAAGTTATCATATGCTAATGTTATTAGATCTTGTTTTGATATATTCATAGTGCAATACAATTTGTTATCTATAAGAAAATCTTAGTGAATGACAATGAAATTCTATAGGCTATTCAATAGATTTTCTTTAAAGTTTTGTTTAATTTGTAATGAATGAGAAATAAATCTTAAATCTATCGATTTGGATATAATCTACCTAAGCGTTCAATGTCAAGCTTCAGTAATGTACTTTATATGTTCAAAAGAGGATGGTTGCTAAGCTTCCTCTATCTTGGTGACAAAAACATCTCTTGTTGTTGCATCATGATATTTTGTTCAACTCTTTCAAATGATTGTATTACTACTTCCATGTTTAGAATCTCCTAAATTACCGACTTCATTTTAACTAATTCAGCTTTATTTATTCTATCCTTATTTACTATTAACATTTGTTTACTACCTGACTATTTGCTTGTAATTCCTTAGTATTCTGTTATTATCAATATTGTGGAATGTTCTTCTGTACAATATTTCATTTATTCACTTCGACCGATTTACATTCTCCTTACACTATACTGTTCTATGTTCATAACACATTTCAACTGAACTCATTTATTTAAGTTATTTCAACTCATTCTGTAATTTTAATGTTTACACATTATAGTTTGTATCTAGTTGACGAGAATTCCATGAAATAAACTGAATTCATGTTATTCTGCTCAAATGTTTCGTTTTGTTTTCTTAAATATATATGATATTCCACAATTGTTTGGTTTTATCTAAGTCTTTGAATACTACAATAATTCGTAGTTCCGGAAATGGATCAGTTAGTTATTATTACTTTCTTACTTAACTATCCGTTGTTTGTACACAAATAGATCAGCTGACATCATGTGATATTTTCAAATGAAATGTGACAATATTTAGGTGAGGTATTTTTTACTTCATGAAGAATATTCATTCATCTTATTATAGTATACTAACCAAAGCACTACAATGTATACACAGATAATTTTGAAAAATTTAGTATTCTAAACTTTAGAAATTAATATTCAGTTTTTGGCAAATGTTGTATTAAAACTATTTCAGTTTTATTTCTAATGCTAATTAATCACGTGATCAGTGTTGATTTTGAAAAAAAAACTATGGATCTCATTTAAACACCTGATTGGTTTCTATAGAATTAATATTTTGATAATAGTTACTCAGGTGAATCGTTAAATTAATAAAATATTGACTATTGAACTACTTAGTTTGTATTGACATCATGGATGGATCAAAGTTGGATCGCTATTGAAAGCCCAGAGGCAGTACACGGCCTTCCCGTTTAGGTATTGGGTTATCCAGTAGTGCACACTCGCTCCCTACATGCCGGACTTGAACCCAGGGCCTTCGGTCTCGCACGCGAACGCTTAAACTCTAGACCACTGAGCCGGCATCTGACGATATTGATTTCTAACTTCAACCAACTCACGATATTGCGCGACCGTCCACCATTGTTTTCGGTGAGTAACTGCCTTTAAAACAGACACGGTTAAAATCCAATGGTCACGGCTTCTCACTGGAACTCCAAGAGATACATCTTGATGCTAGTCACTAGTGAGGACATAATAATCATCAGTATAAGGTTGTGTAGATTGTTGGTTTTAGATTGACACCATGAATGAATCAATGTTAGACCAGGGTCGTCCAGTGCTTCCAGGTTTCTAATGATGGTCTAACATTGATCCACTCGTGATATCAATCTAAACTCAACAATCTCCACAACCATATACTGATATTTAGTTTGTGTTATATTTCGACAGCTAGGGTCTACCATCATTATTAGGTGAATGGGAGCAAATGAAAAACAGACTAGATTTTTTCGAAGCTAAATAGATACACATAAATTGTCCAGTTAAAATAAACTTAAAGTACTTAATTATTTAAAACATCTAGCATGTTGACTAGGTATATCTTAGCAAATGTTTGCAGATGTCATTATTCATACTTAAGCTGAATATAGATGTCTATGATTCATACTGAACAGTCATCTTAATTCCTTCTATATTTTAATATTGAGTAAACTAACAAATCTTGTCCTCCATTAGATACAAATAACAAATATACACATTTAAGAGCAAAACAAATATTTATATATTACAGTATTTTGCTTTACATTCTAAAATTCAAATCATTTAAACAAATAGATTCTAGAGTAAATGAATCACAGATAGATCATTGTTAAATTATTCCTATCCATTGATCTTCCTTGTAATTAAATTGAAAAATCATAAAGAAGAAAAATGGATTTTCATTTCGAAGAATTTAACGATAGGAGAACTTAAATTTACAATTTCGTTATTTGTATGTATGACAATGTGAATAACCATAAAATGGTTGAATATGAATAGTTTAATCCCTGAGATTGATAGATATGTTCATAATTTATGTACAATCACATGTACACTGTATATATTGACGCTAATATGAATAAGACTTTATATCACAGTTGTTTACACTAATTTACCATGTACATTAATGAAAATATTATATCCCCTAGAGAATAATTACTAGTACATGTATTGTTTCATATTATTCCAGTAATCAATGGTCGTGAATTTGGTGAATTAGAAAGACATATACACATATCTCGTCCATAATCATTACTAATTTCTTCATAATTCATTGAATGATTCATTTGTTGAAGAGAAGTACTCGATAATAATACTTTATTTGGTGCGATTAGATCATTTCCTAAACCACATACTTCAGAATTTTGAATTGACAATCGACATTTACACAACGGATAAGATTTTGAATACATAATAACATCATCATCATCGTCCTCATCGTTAGTATCGTCATATTCATCATCGTTATTGTCATTTTGATTAAATATTGGTTCAACTGGACTATTTTTCATATTCTCTGTATTGTATTGAGTAGTTAAACTATGCATCACATTTGATGTATTTTGATGTGATGACTTATCATGTTTCAAAGGATTTTCACTTTGAAAATTTAAAAATGCACGTTTTTCAGGTATCGGGGTAGATAGTTTAGAATCAAATGCTCTTTTATTGCCATTGCATGCTGAAGAGTTATCTGGAACAGAATCATAGACACGTTGACACATTTGTTCATTTTGCTTGCTTGGATATGAAACGCTTAGTTCTGAATACGTTTTTGTTTGAACTGAGCTCAGATTAGGTGTATTGGGTTGTTTCACAAGATCACATTGTTGTGTATTATATGAAGGATTGTTTGAGTTATTTTCGGAAGAGGAAATATTTTGTACATCAACTGACTTATCATCCGTTTGTGGTGTATTAAGTGCTTCTCGGTTTAATAATACAGATCTTGCTTTTTTAGCAATTTTTAAAATTACCATAATCCTGTATAGGCGATTACTTGGTGATAAAATATTAGATGTCTTTTTGGGAGAGATATGTTGGGATGATTCAAATGTAGTTGATCTGTTGGAGTTATCCATTAATAAATTATTTTTATTCTCTGTTGATCTTATAATTGGTCCTGTTGTTGGCTGTAAGGTACTTTGAAAATTCTTCAGTTTATTTATTGAAATCTCCATGATAAGTTTTAGTGCTGATGAGGTGATTTCATTATATGAAGCTTCCACTTCTTGTAGATTCATATTTTGAAACACTTTTATAAATGATCTTTTCAAATAGTAGACTATATCCTGATGTATTATTTTTTTTCTAACTTTTCAAATAAAAGAACTATTTTTTTCAAAATACTGTGATGGACATTACACTAGCTTTTATTAAACATTTAACCAATGGTAATCCTTTATTTTTATTTAAATTACTTAATTACATTATGGTTGGTTAAATTAAAGTCATTATTGGTTTCGTATCATTCAACTATTTGCAGGGTGGTAACGTTCAAGTAATGATCAACTTTAAAGTGTCATCGATTAAGACAACACATGTGGGCGTAAGTAAATGAACAAAAATTGGTTGCTACATAATTTGAACAGAAAACAATTACTTAGACCAATAGTAAACTAAGTCTAATTGACGTAAATTATTCGGCCATAATTAACCAATCTGAAGTAAGTAATATTATTTATTGATTAATTATCAATATTCGCCTACTCAATATTTGATTATACGCCCTCGGACACTGTTTGACATGCCATAATGTTCACCATCTTCGTCAACTTACAAAATACGTGTTATTTCTTAGTTCTGGTAGAACACTCAGTGGTTCATATCAGACTACACCAATTTCAGTACTGATTACGATACATACTACAATGAAAATCTATGGGAAGTTTGAAATTTAAAGTGTCAAAAATCTCAAATAAAAACATTTCACAACCAATATTCTTTCGTTTCGGATAGGGATTGTATATAGTTAATTATGAATATTATTCATCTTTAAATATGCCATAAATTTGAATTATCAGAAGGGGTTTTGTGGAGATTTAGTATTTTCATAGTCGAAAGCGTGAGACATAAATACCATCGGATACCGACTCAGTGGTATATCGGTTAAGTGCTCTGGTGCGTGACAGGTAGGCCCTGTGTCCGAACCTCTCGAGTCGAGGTCGTGGTTGCGCACTGCTGAGGAGTCCCACAGTAAGACGAAACGGCCGTCCAGTGATTCCAGGTTTTCCCTGGTGGTCTAGCTTCAATTGATTCACGCTTTCAACTGTAAATTTGAATCTCAGCCGATTTCTCCAAGTTTTCTGTTTAATTTACGAATAGAGGACACTCTGAACCAGCTGGTTTTTTATTGATAAAATGATACGCTTTCACTTACATATATTCTTTCAAGCTAAAATGCAATGATAGAAATAATGCTAACTTTGTACATTAAATGTTTTTTTAAAGTTAACTTTACACGTAGATGTTTCATTTTCACCATCTATTATATAAGCCGCTGTAAACGGCTTATTCTTAGGCTTGACACTGCTGACTAAGATAATCTTGTTGAGTTCTTAATTGAATAAGCAGTTTTTCAGTAGTAATAACTATTTACACCTCAAAATTTCATTTAGCTCAACATTCAGACTGATTACAAAGGCTCTGTCCTTGAGAAACGAAGCTTGGAGAGTAATAAGACTACAATGACAAGTATAAATCAAGCTGTGAGCAATAATGATTATGTCAATAACAAAAGTCACTTGTTGTAGTCTATAAAAATGAAGTTGAGGATGGGATAGTTACCTAAGTGTTATGTATATCAATTGATTGCAGTTCTGATTCAGATATATTCAATAGTATCCTGTTTTTAATATGATATTGAGATTTCAAGGTTAATATTCAATGAACATTTATTGAAAGTGGATACGCTTGTTACATTCCGTGGAGGAGTATAGGCCTCTCACCAGCATTCCGTATACAACTCTGTTCTGAGCAATCCTTTCCAGTTGTTTCCAGTTGCTACTCGCACTTTTGAATATGGACTGATAAAGATGTCAAAACTAGAATGAACTAATTGTTTAGTTTCCTTCATATACTAATGACTCTCTAGCTGACCTTAGTTAATGATTTAAATGTTTTCATCGCATTATTTCTTTGCGATTACATGAAACTAATTCATTATGTAATGATAAACAAGTCAAAATATAAAATTTAGTTGTGTGAATTAGTGGACAAATATACAATATAAGAGACCTCAAAGAAATTACTTTGAATTAATCATTCAACTATAGACGACTAAGTCCATTATGAGAAAGAAACTAGTGACAATTTTATTGTTAAAATAACCTCCACTTCTCATACATGAATAGATACTGATTAGTACAATCTTGAAATAGCTTAACATCAACACAGTATGTGCTCAAATAGCATCATATAAAGACTGAAAATAAATACATTGACTTTCAGTTAGTTCTTCACATAGCAATTTGAGATTTCAAGCGATGAATGCATAGTTTAAACTCTAGTGGTCACGTCACCATAAATGTACGCGTACTAAATAACATGAAATATGGATCTTGAGTCACTCTTTTGGCCTCAATAGAGTTTAATAAAAATGTTTCGTACTGATAGTCTTCAAACTGAATATGAAGTCTCAGCAAATTCCTACAAATATGATTGAAATGATGATGTCATTAAACCGCTGACTAGTAATGACAGAATTTTATCGATGAAGTTGTAATGTGACTAATATGATGTTGGTCACTGAGTAGTGATCAATCAACCACAAAGAAATCCGTCATATGGGAGTTCAGTTAAGGTCCGGATAGCGTAGTAGTAACATCTCACGCTATGAAAATGGGTGACATGAGAATAAACCTACCAGAGAACGCTAGTTCCCCTCGAGATTCCAAGTACAATATGTACCAAACGGCATTAAATCTAGATTCAGGGTTTCCTGCCGACCACCTCTTTCTAACACGGCTGTGATAAACTGATTATGGAAAAAAAGGTTTTATTGGTTCCCATGAAAACCGAACTAAAGAACTGCGTCAACACTTATCATTATTTATTAGGTCATAAAAATGAGAACTCGTTTCTTGTTCACATTACTGTCTCTGAGCTATGTGATATGGTAGAAAAGTTTTCATTATCCACCCGAACAACAGTTCTAGTATCTGTCAAGTCTATTTGAAATTGAACAGAACTGAAGTCTGACATCACTTAACCCATTAATATCAATGTGCTAACTAGTGAAAAAAAGAAGATGGAGCTAATATAAGTTCTTATAGAAAACAGTGATTTTTTGACGTCAATATGGTTCAAAGCGCCGATGTAATTTGTTCATCACATTGACCGATAGTTGAATTATAAAATTATTCGAATGAAATTAGAAATGTCGATTTCAAAGTATTTTACTTGACACGAAATTTGAAGGTTCTGAGTTTGTAGTGTATTGAAGTGTATTGATATAAAGTATTAAATAAGAACAGAATAGCTATCTAATACATCCATAGGTTTGATTGGTTCTCGAATGGATAACATTTTGTCATTGAAATTCTTTTTAAAAATGCAATAAGTTTTAGCTGGTTGTATCAGCATAAACAAATATTTTTATGAAATTTGATAGGATCACTAAGCACCGCTTCTATTTTTTCAATGTAATCCTTTTTGTTCATCAGTACCATACCTCCTTCCTTATCAGGTTTGCTTATGATCAAGGTTTCATCCTTTTTTAGTCTCATTAAGAAGTCTCGGTGCCCCCAAATGCCCTGGTACGGCCGAGAGTGGGGAGAGTCCACTCCCTCTCTCGAAATGCTCTCACATAGTCACGTGTATATAAACTCTACCTGGGAAGTCCTACTCACTGCCTTCTCGTACCACGAGTGTTGTTTACGAAATTGAGAGGACGAAAAGCGAATGTGCGACGCTTTAACCGGGTTGGTGGGGAGTTGGAAAACCCTGATTCCAAACCAATGGTTCACTTGGGCTCCAGTATCCTGAGGGAACAAATGGCACCTGGGTAGTATCATGGCCCTCACACAAATCAAATGAGATTTGTGTGGCGGATATATATCTGGTGCCCCTTTGTACCAATATTTATGTGTTGAAATAAAACAAAATAAACTCAGTGCTGCTTGGCTAGTAGGTGATTTGAGGTACCCTTACTATTCTTGTATTGGTGGCAGCTATCGACTAAAGAGGTTTTAAACCTAGCTAGGTCCTCCATTGAGGTAGGAATTAAGTCAGTTGTTTGTGGAAATAAATTCTCAAACTGTACACCAGTATCTAATTGGTTGATTCTACTGTTACAAAATTTAGGCTCCAGAGATAACGCTTCTAGCTGTATTACATCTCGTTCGATATTGGAAAAATTATGTACGCACCAATTCGGGTCGAAAGGAAATTCCTTTTCTGGTTTTTGATTTTCCAAAGTTTTCACTAGATTTTTGTTTAGGATTGAGAAAGTTAGATAATGAAATAAAAGCCAAAATTAAAATAATTACGATTGTATTATAAAAACAATCAATAAAAGATTATAAATAAACCTATTACTGATGAGTCATTCTAGATTAGTTTGTAATAAGAGAAAATGAAATGAATAACCAAGTATGTTTTGGTTCTTCTTTATGGAATTTATGTCGATGTTTGAAATTGTTTCATCTCTGATCAATATATTGAAAATTCACACTTGTTTATGTGTGTGACAAATATCTACTTGTCAATATTGATTAATGGACAAGATAGACCAAAACGTATCGTAAATATCAGTGATCTGTTTATTATGAAAGTTGGCATAGTTAATTCGAATGTTATGTGTACCCTGAAAAAAAGCTTTGATAGAAAGATTCATTTTCGATTGATATATTCAATACTGTTAGTTTGTTACAGTAGGCCACCTTTCACGTATGGAATTTCAACAGAAGTCTTTGAATCCAATTATTAAAATAAGTTTGTTAGCTTAGATCTTGGTTACATAGCCTGTGAGAATTTTCTTTCAGATGTATTTTCAAAATCGAAAGTATTAGTTCATTTTGAGTGAGAATCAGTTACTTATGTGTAGCAGAAAACTTATTAGTTCAACCATTCAGCTGAAGGTGTTTTGTTGAGATTAGTACGATTTGTTGGTTGTATTTATTACAGACTGACTTTAATTCAAGTAGTATTCGAAAACAAGAAGCACTGGGCAGTTGTTTTGTATTAGTATGGGACTGTTCGGCAACGCGCAAGCATGATAACAATGAGGATCGAATCTAAGGCT